CCCCCTCCAAAAAAAAACAACAACACCCCTACATTCCTACACTGCACCGCACCGCATCCATCCTTCCCACCGACCCCGAGTACACCACAATCCCCGTAATGTGGATCACCCCCATTACCTAACCCTTTCAGGCGCCCCCCCATCCCCCTCCAGCTTCCAGCCTCGATCTCCACATCCTCCGATGTGCTGCGCATCCTATCCACTTTTCTCTCTGCTACCCACAACGACTATGCTCCCCCCTTACCCTGACCCTTACCATGGCGTTGGGAAGCGGGAGTACCGGTGAGTGTGGAGTTTTTTGCACCCAAGAAAAAATCTTGTACAAAGGTAAAGAAAATAAACTATACATAGAACTTTCTGCAGATTCTTCGAGACAGGGTCTAGCGTATGTACGCAGCCATTGAACTCAGCTCGCAGGGTATCTGTGTGTGTGTGTGTGTCGTTTGATTTTTCTGGTTTGGGATCTAGGCGGGTGGGTGGGGGGGAAGGGTGATGTGGGGAGCTGAGCGGATGTGGGTCTGGGTCAGGTGATTGAGGATGAACTTTTTGGGATATAGGTTTTGCAGGTGGCTGAGTTTTAGGAGGACGGCAGTTGAGATACGATGGAGTTGAGGTATGATGCTGAGTCGGTGACTACTGGGTCTGAGTCGGGGAGTGGGTGAGTTATCGGACGCCACTATCTCGAGATTCAGGTGTAGATAGGTGGTGGATGGGTGACCAGCTATTTTCAGTAGAGCAAATACATGATGCATGCAGTTGGCGTTGGAGCAGGCGTTGGAGGATGGAAGGGAGCAAGTGGTGAAGATACGACTTGGCAATAGAAGTGGATCAGGATGAACATACGATGCGATCGTATGAGACGGCCGTGTCATTATGACTAATTTGTATCCCGAACTGAAAGTTGCTGCAGCAAAGTCAGAAGCGATACGCCCTTTTCAGTTGAGAGGATCAAAAAGAATGCGTCGTGAGAGCTGCGTTCGCACGAGTTGAGTAAACATATGCTTGTCTCCAATACTGGCTCTAGGTCTCTACCTCCCAAGTCAGTGTCTGCCGATCTGCAAACTGCATAATTGTCCAGGAATTTGCACCCCCGAAACCACTTGCGCTCATAGCAAACCACTGTCCTTCACTTCCCTCGACAATACTACTTTCTTCCATGCTCACGTCTCCTTGCGCGCCATTTTCCCTCTTTTTGTTCTTGAACGCATCTTTGCGGATTGCAAGGAAGATACTGCGAATGAAAGCCGGAGGTATAAACCCCTTCCAGCGCATGACAACCATACGACATGATCCGACACCTTTTCCAAAATCTGGCACTTCGTATCGTGATAGATGGTGATTTATGTTGTCCCCTTTTCTGACGCGCGGCGAATCCAGACTGAGCATGTGGAGGTATTCCAACAAGCCCAGCGCATCTTCTTCCGCGTACAGATCTGCAAGATCGCTAGGGGAAAATTGCGGTACAAGTACCTCCTGAATACTTGCTTGTTCAGGTACAATGTCATGTAACCAAGGCGAGTGTTTGGAAATGACTTCTTTTCCTTCAGTCAGTGACTCCGCAGACGAAGGATTGAAGTTGTAAAACAGCCAAGTAAGCGAACGATCAAGAACGTTCTTGCATGCCCATTCTAGTCTTGAGAAGCCACTCTTGCCATGCTTAGCCGAGTTGGCGCGCAAGTCATACTCGACGATCCACCGTTGCTTTTGATGTTTCTTTCCGCCGTCTTCCATCGGTGTGCCATGCAAGCCGCATCGTTCATACGTTGGACGTGTGAGCTCCATCCGTAGAATACCCTCATAGACCTCGAACTGATCGTCGACAAGCGGTCGGCCTTCACTTAACATCGCAATGTTTCCTTGCTTGATGTACCCGTCCAGGAATTCTTTTTCCAAGATTTCTCCGAGCTTCATATGTACTCGCGCATATCGTGCCCTTCCCAGGCCATCGCTCCGCTCCAATCCATCTCTTAAAATCTCATAGATCTCTTCCGGGAGTATCAAGTCGAGTGTGTGGCTGTATTTTTGCTTGTTCAATACAGAGAATGGCTTCTTTTTGGTGGAGACATTTTGCGGATCAACATAGGACGGTAGAATGCTGTGTGAAAAGTAAACTTTTGTGTCCTGTGCGGGATCAGGGCGGTAGATATCAAGCATTTTGTACCCTATACCAAGGCTTGTTCTGGATATGGAATGCGAATGACGACGTTTGGTGTCTTGATAATGCGTGAATGTGGGGCAGTCGCGTCCATTGCGAAGAAAACGCGCTGTGTTTAGCGCGGCGCGCTAGCATGTGAGTACCCCACAGTCAACTTCGCCCCGCTTTGCGCCTCTTTGGAATTATCAACCTAATCTGATCTATTTTCCTTACATTTTCTCAATGTAACTTGATGAAGTAAGTGATTGCAAGTAAATTGATCTTTAAAATTGCAGCAATGGAATTTTCACTTCTTCCGCCCTCAGCACCAAAGTTATGAGAGAGGAGTTAAAGAGAAACATCAAATCCAAATAGTAAGTAATCCTATTTTGTAGCGGAGAAGATCTGAGTATACATCTACGTTAAAGAAGTTCTTTTTTCATTGAGTGACTGATCACAGCACCAAAATTCTTTTATATTAAAAGAAAGTAAAAAAGAGAATAGGATCGCCACCGTTCTGCACTGCCTAGGGTCACGACCGCGTTGAGCGCATCCTTGCTCTCCTTCCAGCCTGGCGGGCCGCAATCTTTTTACTCGGTTGTGGCTTATCGACTTCATTTTGGTGCGTTAATCTGGTGATGGCACATATTGAACATGGCCTATCAAACTGCTCCGGATGAGCGTCATGAAATCCTCGTGTGTGGTAAAGTTGGAAAGCCAGAGCTTCCACATCGACGCGCAAGACCCACAGTGATCTGTTGCCTCTAATTCGATTTGAGGCAAGGGTAGAAGGTGAGAGGTGGTACTGCCTTTCCACTTCGTCGGTCGTCTGCGCCTGCTTAGTCATGTGACTCTTACAAGGTCAACTTGAAGGAATGCATACCATGGTTTGACGGTAGAAGCAGTCTCCACAGGCAGTGAGAATACGGTTGACGGTCCGAAAGGGGTAGCAATCCAGCGTTGTCTGACAATAGACACACCTGCGCGGAGCATGTTGCAGCCATAGTCGCCGGTACACGATGCCACTGAGGTCCGGATAGACACAGTTGGAACCATACCTATCAAGATGGGCAAAAGGAAGGTTGAACATGGTACTGTTGCATCGGCGAACCAGGTGTGCACAGTAGCTTTCAACCAGCCTATGACATGCCCGGGATGTTAGAGCCAGGGCATGGAAGGGGTGCGAGATCAGGCACAAGGAGAATATATCGACAGCCCACCGATCGGTATCTGCAGGCTGAGTGAGATCCTCTTTATCCTTGATGCTGCGTTTTTGCTTCTCGGTGAAGCCGTATCGGCTCTGAGCTTCAGTAAGGCCTGGTAGACGGCAATGCGAGTGGATGAGGTCCGATAGTATGCGGTTGACTATCTCAACTGGAAGCGTCGCTAGCCTCTCGGGGCGAGGCACACAGTTTGTTTCGCTCAACTGACCCATAGAGCATGTTTTCGGTGCCCCGCAATGGCGCGAATCAGGCGAGGCTATGCGTAACAAAGGCTGCTGGTAGACTGTCACGGCAGTCTTGTGCAACCGGTGGTCAAGTGCAGGTGGACACTGGACCAGCTCAGTCGCAGAAGTAGCGAACAAAGTCATGATGAGCGAGAGAAGCAGGATGAAGAGTATGAAACCGTGCGATTCTTTTTCGAAAAGCTGAATGCCTTATACTTGACGATACACGAACAAGTGACATGTAGTATCCGTGGCGGCATGCCACCAACGAGCATGTCAAGACGGCGAAAGTTGCATATCGTGGGCTATGATTTGTTTATATTTTTCCAGTCTCGGACGGCTGCATGCATGAATGCAGCTCGCACGAAGAAATATTTCCCAAGATGCTGCATGCTACGGTGGCATGAGATTGGCGAAGGAGACGGCGACGACGACTCTCCGCGGCGGTGCGTCGGAGGAAGAATGGCGTGCAAACAACAATCAAAATGCGGCTATCTCCGTATCGCCTAAATGGGCCTAGCGCCAAGGCTCACCAACTTACCCATCTGACCACCTTTTCTCCTCCACTCTCGCCGAGTTACATTGGTTGACAGTGAGCGCGCACGGGAAAACGACATCATGGCTGCCCACGCCTCAGAGGGACCCGTCGCTGTCCACGACTCCGCCCCGCCCCCTGCCCCAGCTGGCAAGGCGGAACACACAGCGGGGGGCGCGACCAAACCCAAAGAAGAGGACGCGCCTGCGCCTGACCACGACGACGAAGATGGTGGCGTGTGGGATTCGGCTTCGCTATATGAGGAGATTCTGGATGAAGTTGAAGCCTTCGAGTACTCCAACGACGGTGAGTTTGACCTTTGTGTGGCGTTGGCCACAGCCATTGACAGTTGTACAGGCAAAGATGTGTGCACTGCTGACGAGGCGCGCCGACTGCGCCAGCGACTGCACGAGGTTGGCGCCAGCCAGTTCGTCATGGAGAACATCACCAGCGAGAAGATGACGGCGCGCAAGCTGTGCACTGCATTTGGCGTCAGGATACCCAAGTTCCTCGAAGAAGCGCCCGACGAGAACTTCTACCAGTTGCTTGGCCTGGCCATCAACCGCGAGCTCAACAAGCGCCCCCGCCTTGAGCAGTACAAGACCATTGACGACGCTGCGAAACTGCTGCTGGAGCGTAAGAACATCATGATCATCACCGGCGCAGGCATCTCGACGAGCCTCGGCATCCCCGACTTTCGCTCCAAGAATACAGGTTTCTACTCGCGACTGTTGCAGATGGGCTATGACGAGCCCGAGGAGGTCTTTGATATCCACAACTTTGACGAGAATCCTCGCACCTTTTATGCGCTTGCTGGTGACATTATACCTGACCTCGAAAAGTGGACGCCTACGCACGAGTTCATACGCCTACTCCAGGATAAGGAAAAGCTGCTCACCAACTACACCCAGAATATCGACAATGTCGAAGCACACGCGGGCATACGCAAGGACAAGCTTATCCAGTGCCACGGTTCCTGGGCCACTGCGACATGCCGGAAATGCAAATTCAAGGTACCAGGTGAGGCCATCTTCGACGATGTGCGCGCACAGCGGCCTGCTGAGTGTCAGCGCTGTAAGGATGAAATCGCAGCCCAACCCAGCAAGAAGCGTAAACGTCAATCCAACGCCAATGGCAGCAGGAAGAAGCGATCGAGTGACGAAGATTCCGAATCTGATGGCGCCTTTGACATTCCCCAGCCAGGCATCATGAAACCAGACATTACCTTTTTCGGCGAAGCCCTTCCTAACGACTTCTTCGATCGACTAAAGGACGTGGACAAGGACAAAGTAGATTTAGTCATTGTCATGGGCACGAGTATGAAAGTCGCCCCCGTGTCTGAGATACCCAACTTCCTGCCCCGCGACATTCCGCAGATTTACATCTCACGAGATCCCATTCACCACATCAACTTCGATATCAACCTCCTCGGCGATTGCGATGTAGTAGTGGCTGAGCTTGCCCGTCGCGCGGGTTGGCAACTCAACCACAAAATGATACCCGAGGGCCAGACAGTTGACGTCACTCTTACCGATGATATGGATCACATTTCCACCGTCAAGGCTCGCACCCCCGTGACGATTACGACAAATAATCATATTAACGAACCGGCATGAGCATTAGCTCATGACCTTTTGTATTTTGGTGTATCTACGGCGTTATGACTGGCATTACGAGTGGTGTTTTTTTCCTATGTTTATTGGTCATTTTAGATCGAGACAGGGGCATATCCCGATTCCCACAAGTCAGTTGCTTGATCTTCCATAATGGAAATTTGGAGTAGGGCGTTGTGGTGTGATTAAACATCAAGAGAGAGGTTGTGGGGTGCGGCATGAAAGATACCACAGATCTGGGAGTATGTGTGGAAGGGGATGCTATCTCGTAGTCTCCAGCAACTGTATCTTCTTTTATCATACACATAGAGCTTGTCTTGTCTTGCTTTTTTTCCCTCTATATTCAGGTAGCACACAAGAATACAGTCACAGTCTCTTTCTCTAAACAAGGTTCGAATTGTGTAGTTGTTTCTTGTGTGATACACATCAGGATGGCGTCAAGGCATTGTTGTTGCCTTTGTCTACCCATTATCTTACCTAATGAACCTCGGCTTAGCTACAGCAGAAAAGATGTCATAGTCGAGGCAAAGCCACAGCCGACGCCACGCCAGTTGCCGCTCAAGCCATACTGAAGCTATTTAGTCGACTTGGTTGATTCAGGATATCCAGTTTTCTGGATAGAGATATCGTTTTGTATAGGTGTTCTCTGCAAGGAAATCACCACTCGGATACCGAATTCCCTCGATCCTAGTGATCCCACAGGCTTAGATAGCGGATAGATCCTAAATCCATAAGCGGGTAAACTCCGGGCGGGGAATTTTCAGGTTGGATCGATGTGTTTCACTTGCCGCTCAATGCCTTGGACCTTTCTCAGTCCCAGGAACCACTACCCAGAAGGGCAGATTCATGCGCGCTAATCGAGCTTGCTGCAACCGTAGCATGATCCCATTTTCACCTTAGTCAACTTACGTAAATGATGTTGTAAAGGAGACTCTTTTCTCTAGTCCCAACGTCCGCGCCCTGCTCGTACACGCGTCGCAATCTTAGATGGGCTGATAGGGAAAGGGCACAGTCAAGTTATAGCTAAGATAGGAGAAATTTAGGTTTACTATCACGGATACGAAACCAAGCTTTCTGTGCAGCACGTCATCCACGGGCGGCCCAAGCTAAGAAGTGCACAGTCCCAGCTGACGACAATATACTCCACACCTCCACTCCACCACCTTCTTGCTAGAGCCTCACGTATAGCATAAACGCCTATGTTGAGACCTAGTTGAAACAGCCATTCGATCGCACGTCGTCGTGTCACCGCAAAACTCTAACTCGTTGATGTAAATATTAAGGAAAAAAATGCATTTTACGCCATGAAGGACTTTGCTTCAATGCGGCCGAGGTGTTCCTCTCGCTCATTGATCATCGTCAAACTTGCCTGCCTGTTATTACGATGTTGATCGTAATCCCAGCCGCCTTCCCCTGCTTTGGTCA